GTTCAGTTTCTATGCCATATGTTAAAACAAGATCTAGAGTGTGATTAAAGTGGTGGGTGGGTTCTTTTACATTTTGAGAGAAACCAATTGAGTCTAATAACAGATTAAATGCCATGTTGAGATTATAATTTTTAGCATCCATCCATCTAGAGCTGATCACTAAAATAGATAAAGAGTCTGAAAAATAAGAAACTCGGGGTGAGGCCTGGGTGAATGATAGACAACAACAAATAAAACTTATTTTAAGTTTTCAAGTTATGTGGATGCTAATGACCAAAAACATGTGAAGATAATATAAAATAGTAAAACCAAACCAAACTACCTTGTTGGACATAGAAAGCATGCCTGAGCCTGCCAGTAAATTCCTTATCCATTAGCTTGAGGCATGTGCAGACAAATGCTCCACACATACAATCATGTGCAAACACTGTCTCTAGAGACTAAGTCCAAAGAAGAAAACACAGCTCGTCCTTTGCTCCCAACAACATGAAATAGCAGCTTGGATCCAGATGAAGTCACTGAAGGGATTAAAGTCTGTGGCATCACTGTAGGAATGCAGTGTTTGATCTCCTAAGTCCACTTTGTACAATATGAGGATCCATTTGATAAACAGAGATCAATGTTTTAACCACACATCTGGAAATGTCAAAACCTCACATACAGTCCACCAGGTGTTTCAACAGAAGAGTAAAGTTTGAGCTTCATGTCCCAGTGGAGTCTTAACTTCATATGTGTGCATTTAAAGAAGTTTGGAAAGTGAGGTCTTACAAGGACTACTTGAGACTGCAGGTCATATTTGGATAAAACAATATATCATAATAATAACAATAATAATAATAATAATAAATGATGATTACCCCCTCCACACACACACACACACAAATTGCCACCTTATCATCGTGGAGGGGTTTGTGTGTCCCAGTGATTCCCGGGGCTATTTTGTCATAGTCGAAAGGCCATTCAGCCAACCCCTACGAACCTAGGAACTAACCCAAAGGAAAAAAATCTACTCTGCCCAGAACAGGGCCCCACCCTGGAGCCAGACCTAGGGAGGGAGCTCGAGGAGCCTTAGCCTGGAGCAGCCAGGAGAGGCCTGCCATAGAGGTCGGCTGTAATGTGTGTCAGGTGATGGTCAGGGGCTGATTAGTCGGATTCAGCTCAACTCAAAAGCTCCAGTCCAGAAGATCTTCAGCTCCCAACTCCTGCAGGGTTTTGACACCATTCTGAAGCAGGCTGGGTATATTGAATCCTAATGGGCCATGCTCTGCACTTTCATTGCTGAGGCTGCTGCAAGCAGCTGCAGCTGCCCTGATCTACACATACGGTGTATATCGGGGTTGGGTGCTGTTGTTCTCAACTGAGGATATAGTCTGGCAGTGGAAGGAATACTCCTTAATCCCACTGACACATGTTCTGTAGAGGAAGCAGAGTCTGGAAACAAAGGGGTGAACGCAGCCATCACTGAGGGCAAGGTCACTCAGGTATTTAAACAAC